AATAGGTCAGACTACGGATATAGTTAACATCTCAAATCTAAATTCTATCCTGAGCAGCATGATATTATTTATTAGAAATAAAGAAACAAACAAATATCTTTTAAACATCCATGCTGATGTAATTTCCTAGACTTTTCCAAAAAGTTGTGTGTTAGAATTGGATACTGCTTCTCTAAAAACTGGAGCAGATGGAAACTTTACATACTTTACAGCAATTACAAATTAAATAATGCTGGATATAATAATTTGATCATAAAGAGAAATGCAGGTAAAAGCAGTAAGAGTCAGTGACAGTATCAGCTGCAGTCATTAGTGTTGCGAAATTAACCATTATGATTATTTTAAAACTCTGTTAGGAAAAAAAAATCCTTATTTTTAAAATAAATAAATAGATATTTAGAAATTATGTATTGATGTATGTATGTATGAATTATGTACTCTATTACTTTATTTTTGTTCTTAGTTTATGGTTAATATACAAAAAAAGGTCAAATTTGTTTGGAATTTCTGCTTTAGAGCATCGCTGCTGCCACTTTCTAGGTTTAGAGGGCAATTGTACAGTGGCTGACAGGTAAAAACGAGCAGCAAACGATGAAATGAGTTGTAAAAATGGAAACTCCAAAACAAGCAAAAAAGAAAATGCAAAAGTTGTTTTTTACTATTTGCATAATTTCTTCTTTGTGATTGCAACATTTGTTTGTGGTCGCAGCGGTTTTTGTTTGCATTTGTTTTGTTGATTGATGTTTTGCTGCCGTTTGCCTTTATTGCAATTTTTTTTTTTTACAGCGTTTTTCTGTTGCATTTGTTTGTTTTTTAATTTTAGGTCATTTCGCTGTTTGCTGCACATTTGCACCTGTTAGCAGCGTGTATTGTTTTGTTTAGAGAGCTTTTCTGTGACAGTTGTTTGTTGTGCTTGCATGTGATGGAGTTTGCATGACATATTTTGTTGCATCTCATTTCTTTGTTTGCTTGTTCCAGAGGTGGTGAATTACATCCATATGGGAACAAACCACTTGGTAGTGGTCGCCATCCTTTAGCTCCTCTTCTGGTCTTCCCAGACACGGTTGCAATGGTAGAATTAAAGGTACAACATCTACATGACATTAATCCAAACATTTTGTGTATTTTATCTAAAAATGGCCACCTGTGTTTTGTACAGAATTTTCAAACACTAAATATTTTCAGTGCAAATAATATCCCCAAGCTTAATATTACACCAATGCAACAAAAAAAAATGCTCTATGGTCACCTTCGTTATGAAATCTGGTTTGAAAGAAAGAACTGTATAACTCAAACTCCACTTAATATTACTATGGCTCACTAAGTCATTAAACGAGACCACCAGCTGTGTTTTTATTAAATGAATAAATAGGGCACGTTTATAAGACGCTTTTGGATTATTAACTTCTGTCTCATACTGCAACATCACACATCCATATACACAAGATTAGCTGGGGTCAAACAACTCATTATAGTATGTCACTCAGTGCTTTTATGAGTAATTGCATGGGCAAGTAAAATATGATCCCTCATTTTCATCTTCTCAAGTGGCGTTTGACCTGCTGTTGTAAGGGCAAAGAAAGCTGTTGCAAGGGCACGACATCAGCTTTTGCATTCATCCAGAGGTGAGGGGGGAGAATGAGTAACTGAGTGCAACAACACCAAATTTTAGTAGCTGCTGTGGAGCAACAAAGCAAGCACAAAGAGGTTTAGCTGATGTACAACAAAAAAACAAACAAGCAAAAAAACGATTTAGCAATGACAGGTAAAGGCTGTATGAGATAATTAAAGATCTGCATTTTCAAATCTAGGATATCTACCTCTATTATATATAAAGAAAAAAATTAAATGGAAAATTAAACATTGTAGATCCTATCATAATATAATTGTGACCCTTAATTACAAAATCCCCTGAAATTGCTATAAGGACTCTTAGTGATTGTATTATTGTTTGCACCTTCAAGTACTTTTGGTGTTGGTATACATGCATCTCTTTAGATAAAGTTGACTGTCATTTTATCTATTGTTCTCGTGCTACAGAATAATCTGTACACATTAAAGAAGAGCCAAAAAAAGAGAGGCAGCAGGCACATTTTTTTGCATCAACCACAGAGGTGAGCCTGACCCTCATACTCACATGTTTCTAAACGTCCTACTGGGATCAATATTTTTCACAATACGCTTCACCTTGAAAAATCGCTCAAACCCCTTGGACGTAAAGAGCATTCTATCAGATAAACTAGAACCATCCATCCATCCTCTACCACCCTTCAGTCAGGTTCATGTGCGGCGGGTGCCTATCTCCAGCAGTCTTTGTGTGAAAGACTGCATAAACCCAGGACAGGTCAAATTAGTTAAAAATAGACATATTTGAGCAACTGTAAAACATCCAATGCATTTCGTTTTTGATTTTACAACTAAAATGTGTATTCTGAAACTGATCATTTTACAGTGTGTAGCTTAATCCACTATCCAAAGCAGGAAATCTAACAAAACGTGGGTTTCCACCTAAATCTAACAGGATGAGTTAGAGGAACCAGTTAGGGGATGAAGTGAAAAGTCCCATCATAACTTTAGGGCAGGGCTGCCCAAAGTCAGCAATTGAGGGGCTGCTGTCCTGCAGGTTTTAGAGGTTTCCATGCTATGACACAGCTGATTTCCACTTATAGCTGATTAACAGGCCTTTACTGAACTGCAATCATCAGAATCAGCTGTGCTGGAGCAAGGAAACCTCAAAAACCTGCAGGAAAGCAGCTTTAAAGGGCCAAATGTAGGCAACCCTGCTCTAAAGGAACTGTATGTATTCATGGCTCAAGTGGGGTAATCTGTTGACACAACAACCCTTTTGTTGTACACACCACAATTTCATCCTTTACAGGTGAGACAGAAGAGCTAGAAGACTTATTATTTGTAGCATGTTTCAAGCCATGCAGAATAAGCCTCTTTGTTTCAGTGTGACCAGCACTGACTATTTAGGACAACATGTTAAATTCATTATGCAGCAGAAGACTAAAACTATACATTATTCGGGAAACACCATCCCTGCTGTGAAACACTGCAATAACATCATCATTTGCATTTATTTTTTATCATGGCAGAGAGGAACTCTCTTCAGAGTTGGTGTCAAGAGTCTGCAAAAGAGTAGAAGGTGGGAAAGGTGTTCACCCTTCCTGAGGGACGTTGACCATAAAAGTAGAGACAAGAGCTACATGGATATTTTAAGTCGAAGCATATTCCTGTATTGCCAAAGTGAAAACCAATTTGTGTCTGGCTGATACATATTCAAGCACCACTGTTTTCAATTTATATCTATAAAAAAGCGAAGCATGTTTTTTTTTCTTTCTCTCCACTGCTCACTCCTTATTGCTTTTCAATCCCTTGTAATCCTAATGAAATACATTGAGGTTTGGCCTTCTTGTTTTACAAAATGTAAAAAAAACACTTTAATGGGGTTCGAATACATTTCTACCACATTTAAATTCCAGAGAGCCTTAATGCTTCCGCATCTCACGACTTAAGTTAATTGTTTGAAAGTTAAAAAGTCCCTCATGTATTTTTCATTAACAGAGCACTTCTGCATGACTGCTCCTTGAACCTGCATTGCAGGCATATGTAGATTATAGGCTAATTTTGGAATCAGACTCTACAAATGTTCTCACACAATCCAGAAAAAAAAAACATGAGAGGAACCAATGCTTGACTTTTACAGGCTCTTCTCTGCAAGATCCCTCTCCATATAGATCTATGAATACAGTATGCACATTTAACTTGCTTTTACTACAAAAGTGTTTAGATCAGAACTGACTTTTTAGCATATTTGAAGAAACAGTCTATATTGTTCTAGTATGAGCAATAAACCCAAGAGAAAAAAATGTACTGCGACAAAAAAAAAATAATATAGGCATTGGTACAAAACAATAAAACTGAGAAATCCAGCCTCAAAATTGACAAAAGTGACAAATATCTCTAGCTCCAGGGGAATCTACCTGCTCTACTAACAACAGCCCTGCTTCAGTGAACAGCTCAGTAAGATGCTTCTCTATGTGACACATCGCTTCAAGACTACGTCACGGGGAAGCCACAAAAAGAAAAAAAATAAGAAAATTGCCTCTTAGTATATGGTATGCATGACATCACTGAGCATTTTTATTTCTGCTTTCATCCTGTAAAGCTGTGTTATAGCAGCTGGTTAATAGCAGAGTATGAGAGAGATGAAGAAAAAAAAAAAGCACAAAAATGCTCTGTGGAGTAAGCCGAAAGTGAACAGGAAAAAAGTCGGCCTGCTTTATGAAAACACGCTTGAGGTTTCAGAGGTGCCATGACATCACAGTCAGAAATTCACTGCAGCTTTGCACAAGATATTTATATTAATGAAGACAGAAACTGCTCTCGACATTCACTACTCCCCACTCCATTGCCCTACAGAGTTGATCTCTTTTTGTGTCATGTGAGCTATACAAGAAAATAGGCTACCGCTAAGCACACCGATGGTCTCCCCTCAGCTTTTTTTGCCACAGTGGTGTGAATAATAATTTACCCTAAATAATAAAGGTAATTCTAGACATTCATCTCTATACATCTCTTATGATGGGCATTCTTTATTTGCTGACAGGGATAAATCATATGGAAATGCATGGAGTTTAGGGCAAGCCTGTATGCTGTTAGCAATCAAATGGTTTTATGGATCCCATTCCCAAGCAACATCTGTGTGCATGAATGTGTGTGTTTGTGTGTGTGAAGCCTTCAGAGATCTTCGTGTGTCAGACCTGGCACGAAAAAGCGGGAGAAAAACGCAAGAAAATGTGTTTCCACAACGTGACTGCATTCAAAAGCCTGAAAACTGTAATTTGAGATATGAATTCATTACATGGCTTTCTCATCAGCAGCAGCAGAATGCTGGTAGAGGGAGGGAGGGGGGGCATAATGTAGTACAACAGCGCCCCTTAGCGACAAGCTGGCAACTGGGGATTTTTGGAGCAGTTTTTTTTTTTCTTTTTTACCTTGGGTGTCACAAAGAAGCGTTGCCTCTGGTGCGGGGTTGGGGTGGAGGACGTTTTGCGCCTTCGTCTTCGGAGCCCGTGTGTGGAATGTTGCTGCTGACTTGTACTCCCGTGGGGCGGGGGCCCGTGCAGTCCACCACAGAGACCTGAACGTTTACTGGCATTTTGGTTCCTTCTCACAGCGTCAGTGAAACCAGAGGAACAGTGTTCAAACTTGATCTGAGAAAAAACAATAATAAATAAATAAAATAAAATAAATCACCAGGATATAAATGTTTAGAAGACTTAAGGGTGGACTTTTTCTAGAACTCAAACTAAGCCAGTTGATTATTTTGATCTTAAAATTAATTTTACTCTATTTATATAACGCTGTTTGGGCAACTTTTAAAAGACAAACTTATAGTGGTTGGCAATTTAGTGCTTCCAATAGAATATAACCATATGCAGATATTGAAATTTATACATAAATGCTCAAAAATCACTGAAATGAATTGAAATCTGTATCATTATACAGCCTCAATTCGTAGCAAATGTAATCTCATTCAGATCATAATGCAAATAGATCCAATTCTAGATATAAAGGGATATCAGTACTAAACTCGCCGTTACGTTTTTAATGCTGGTTGGTAAAAAGTTATTTATCTAAGAACCCAGCTGATTGCATCGAGTCACTGCCTCACATTCCTCATGACTCAAGCTGTTTGGTTTGCAGCGTAAAAAACTCAAACCCAGTGCGCAAATTAGTGCGCTCCTGCGCTCGTGTGCCTTTATTGAGGGGGACGCGTGCGTCGGTGCGCGCCTCTTTCTAACGAAACATGGATCAGTCGCACAACGAAAGGCAAGTTTAAATTCGAAGGTAGAATTAGAAAGAATTAAAGAAGGGAGCAGCGCTTCTTTCCTCAAACAAACAAGCACACGGGGAGAGAAAGTGTTCCTATGTGTGCGTAGAAAATGAGAGTGGGAAAACAGCCTGTGGCTCCTCAGTGAAAATTCCCCTCACGCTCCTCTCTCCTCTATGTAGGGCATGCAGCAGGTTGTGTGTCGAGGACTCGGACGAACGACGGAGCGAACCTGTCGCTGTGTTCCACTTTGAGGAGGAGGCGAGAGAAATGAGCCCAAATAGAAAACCGCTGGGGCAAAACATTCCCCTAAAATAAACGAGTGGAGTTCATAACTATTGAGGATAGTAATAACTGTGAAAATCATTCAGAATTTGTCTCACCCCATTCCTGTGACACATCTCTCCAGGCGGCCAGGTGGAGATGACATTGCAGCCTGTTACTCCATTCGGGTGGGAATAACAAACGTCCCCCTCTGTCAGATTAATCCATCCATTTCTTCTCCTTCCAGGAGGGCACCATAAAACTGATAAATCCACCTGTCTGGTTCTGGAGACCTGACACCCCCACCTCCGCCGCCACCTTTCGCACCCCCCCTCCTCCTCCTCCGGTAAAAAAGGTATTGAAAGCCTTTCGTCTCCGCGTCAGAAGCGGTCCATTTAACCGACGGCGCTTGACGCACGGCTGTCAGTCAGACTCCGCAACAGCGTTTGGTTTTTTGGGGGGATCTCCAGCGACAGCCCCGTGCGTTCCGCAGTGAGAGGGCTGGTGGACAGGTCCGCGCGCCTCCACCTCCTCCTCCTCTCCTGTCCTCTCCTCTTCCTCCTCCTCCTTCTTCTTGCGCCGCTCTCCGGATTCTTAGAGACTGAAGGGGGGATTCCGTCACAAATAACATCAAAACACACAGAGAGAGGGAGAATGGAGAAGAGAAAAAAAATACACGCACACTCTCTCCCTCTCTCCTCTCACTCTGCCCATCACGCTTCCTCTGTATTTTTTCTGCTTTTCTCTAAGAACGCCAAACAAATTGGAACAAGTTTAAAATGGGTCGACTTATTTTGGATTTTCAGTTGTAGGCATCTTTGCTTGCGCGAGAGTGGAGATGCTCGGCGTCCCCATGGTGAGAAATGAGGGGAATTTTCTCCGGCAGTCTCTTTACCCCCGCAGCCCGCCCACGCTCCGCTGGCTGGAGGTACTTACACATCAGCCTTGTTAATTAAACATATAAGGGGTAGAGGATGTAGTGGCGAGGGCGCAAACATCTTCCTCCTGTTTTAAATAAAAAAAAAAAAAAACATCACTACTTTTGGATTATGTCAGGGGCACCTTCAGAGAGTTTTGCATGGGGCATATAGGAGGCCACTAATAAAAGTCACCATCTCACTGGAAAGGCTATGTCACTAACTGTATGAAATCAGCTCATATAATGTATAGATTAGCCTCAAAGAGATATGCAATTGTTTTATGTCCTACCCTGCTAACATGCAACAATTGTGTTAAAATAACTGAATATAATTAAGTAAATGCAAAAAAACGGTTGTGTTTTTTCTTTAACTTTTGATATGACATTCCAGTATTCTAACATGGATAAAAAAAAACACCCCACCTTACTTAAACCTATTATGCCACAACTGTTCATAAGTAAGTTGACTGTGCAGTGTTGCATCAAAGCATATTAATTGAAGGTTGAGTGGGGAAAATGTGGTGAAGAAAATGTCCACATGCAATAGATATACCTGGAGGTTTGAGGAACAGAATGTGAAGAAAAACATGTTAAAGATCTTCACAAAGCCAAGAGTGTTGATGGAGTATTGGTTCAAAAGCCACCACACAAACACATCAGCATCAACGTATTCTAGACCCAACATTAGCAATGTCTTTAACTGGGGAGATTGGATAGTTGCACACTGATCCAAAGACAGTTTTCAAAATGAATGTTTTTTAGCAAATTTGTGGCAATTTAGACTTGAAACCTATGGGACGTGAAGGTCCTCTATGTCTTCTCAAGTCCAAGCATGGCATTTACCATAACATTTAGCCCATTATGCTTCAGTGTGCTGACAGCACTTATGGACAGCTAATTTTTAGTGACCTCCAGGATTTACTTTGTTCTCACTGCCAGAAGTACACTATATTGCCAAAAGTATTTGCTCACCTGCCTTGACTCACATATGAGCTTAAGTGACATCCCGTTCCTAATCCATAGGGTTCAATATGACGTCGGTCCACCCTTTGCAGCTAGAACAGCTTCAACTCTTCTGGGAAGGCTGTCCACAAGGTTTAGGAGTGTGTTTATGGGAATTTTTGACCATTCTTCCAGAAGCGCATTTGTGAGGTCGCACACTGATGTTGGACGAGAAGGCCTGGCTCTCAGTCTCCGCTCTAATTCATCCCAAAGGTGTTCTATCGGGTTGAGGTCAGGACTCTGTGCAGGCCAGTCAAGTTCATCCACACCAGACTCTGTCATCCATGTCTTTATGGACCTTGCTTTGTGCACTGGTGCACAGTCATGTTGGAAGAGGAAGGGGCCAGCTCCAAACTGTTCCCACAAAGTTGGGAGCATGGAATTGTCCAAAATGTCTTGGTATGCTGAAGCATTCAGAGTTCCTTTCACTGGAACTAAGGGGCCAAGCCCAGCTCCTGAAAAACAACCCCACACCATAATCCCCCCTCCACCAAACTTTACACTTGGCACAATGCAGTCAGACAAGTACCGTTCTCCTGGCAACCGCCAAACCCAGACCCGTCCATCAGATTGCCAGATGGAGAAGCGCGATTCGTCACTCCAGAGAACGCGTCTCCACTGCTCTAGAGTCCAGTGGCGGCGTGCTTTACACCACCGCATCCGACGCTTTGCATTGCACTTGGTGATGTATGGCTTGGATGCAGCTGCTCGACCATGGAAACCCATTCCATGAAGCTCTCTGCGCACTGTTCTTGAGCTAATCTGAAGGCCACATGAAGTTTGGAGGTCTGTAGTGATTGACTCTGCAGAAAGTTGGCGACCTCTTCGCACTATGCGCGTCAGCATCCGCTGACCCCGCTCCGTCAGTTTACGTGGCCTACCACTTCGTGGCTGAGTTGCTGTCGTTCCCAAACACTTCCATTTTCTTATAATACAGCTGACAGTTGACTGTGGAATATTTAGGAGCGAGGAAATTTCACGACTGGATTTGTTGCACAGGTGGCATCCTATCACAGTTCCACGCTGGAATTCACTGAGCTCCTGAGAGCGACCCATTCTTTCACAAATGTTTGTAAAAACAGTCTGCATGCCTAGGTGCTTGAATTTATACACCTGTGGCCATGGAAGTGATTGGAACACCTGATTCCAATAATTTGGATGGGTGAGCAAATACTTTTGGCAATATAGTGTATATATAACCTGCGTTGATGCAAAGCCGAGCATACACTGTACAATTTTTTGCCCTTTTTGGGCCCATTTTCCAGTCGTGTGAGTATTTTTTAGACTTTTAGCCTGATCGTGCATCATGCAGGGTTTAGTTTACAGGGGATGATGAGGGGCGATCAACCACTCATCACCTCCCGATCAGGAATCAAAAGGTGGGGACAAAATCTAACGAGTTTGAAATTCAGTTGGCTGTCGTGAGCAAATAACTCAGTGGGCATACAGTATGTGAAGAAGGATTCTTTTTCCTCTTCTTCCTCTCAAATTAAAACACAGAAGCATGGTGGGGGTGTGAGTGAAATGGAGTTCTTTGTGTAAAATTGACAGACCATAATAGCCATGTTTGCTGAGCCATATACGTCATCGCCTTTACTTTTTAGGGTTTTCAGCAAAAACAATTGCACAAATTGCCATTGCAGCAGTTTTTTTCTCTAGTGAGCTTCATATTCTTCTTCTACTTGTTTGGCTTCCGGATAGACAAGTCCAAGTAGCGCCATCTCACTGCAGAGCTGAGTCCGACGTGGTTTTTAAGGGCAGATTATACTTCTGCAACTACACACATCAAACGTCGCTTGGGTCTGGTCACGAACCAGTTTTGCTGGTATGCTTCTGCAACGTCGGTCTGGAATTTCTAGGGAAGCACAGCAGTTTCCCGCCAAAGCGATAGGGGGAGCCTATTCAAGAACTTGCGAGAACTTCTGCAGATGTCACGAGAACTTCTTTGGTGGCGGTTGTTTATTTTCCAAAACAACATATCTGAGGCATCGTACAAGTGGTCGCACTTTCGAACCTCCTCAATCAGCCTTTCGTTGTGGATATGTTGTTATTACTGCTCGGTTTTTAAAAAAGGTGTGCCCCAGCACCGAATCGAGAAGAACAACCACACAGACAGCCAGAAAGGCATACCAAGGACCAATCACAGCTGCTTTTTGTCTGCGCGGGTTTGCGACCATCCAGCGTGTAATCAGTCA